TAGTATTCTACTGTTCGGTTTTCTGGATTTGTACCTTAAGTGAAGGCTAGTTTAAGAGTTGTTAAATAAATCGGAATATGTACCTTAAACTAATGACCTAGCTTAAGAGTTGGTTAGAAGTACCTTGAACTAGTAATAGTTTAAGAGGGTAAATATCAAATAGATTGGCCTTAGACTAGAATAGTTTAAGAATATTGTTGAATAACAGATGATGAATATTATATGATTAATGTTGAATATGAATGATGAATACACATGTTGAATGATTGAATAATGAATGTTGAAAATTGAAAATTGATTATTGAATATCTGAACTGAACATTATGTGCATGATATCAAATGATTTGATTGTGAGATGAGATACAATTTATATGGATGTTCGACGCATTAGATATGTTTACTCAGCTTTACTGCTGAGCGTGTAGTATGTTTTATTTGCTACACGCAGGTCAATAGAATGATGTGACATCATCCTGGAGGCAGACAAAGGCGAGATAGTCGAAATGGATGTGATGGTTTTGAATTAAAGAATATAAATAAATTATGTTTGTGGTTATGATTCGTTTAGCTTCCGCAATATTGAAAATTCTGTACTGTTTATGATATCAAAAATATTATTATGATAAATAAAAGTGTTTGAAAAGTTTTAAATTTTACGGTTATCAAGTTAATACTTTAGTCCGAAAGGGGCTGCAGACCTGGACGGATTAGGGTGTTACACCTGAGCTGTCTCGGTCAACCAGGTTTTGCCACGTGTCATTCTTGGGCTGCAATATAAGCTGAAGCGTCCAACTTGGCCAAGCGTCTGGTTTGTGATTTCGGCCCAATTTCACTCCATTTTGGCCCTGAACACTGTTTTTGACCTCCCGGAAACTCGTTCAAGCCCGAATCTTGATTCTTTCATGATTGATTCCCTTTTTCTCAAGTATTTAAACATAAAATGGATGATTTATTCATGTGGAATCCCCTTTTATGACTCTTAGAGCAAAAATGAGAGTTTTATTGATTAGAAACATATTTTATGAGATGATTAAATACTATTTACGTTCAATAACGTTTAGAATATGATGTATTACCTCTGTCCTAGAGTATTTGTCCACTTTCATTTTTACACACCATCCAAGACACTTCTTTAGTCCATTTTATCTTGTAATTTGTTTATTAAAAAATTATAGAAATTATATATTAATAATCTATATGTTAAGACTGTTGGAACACGGGTTTACGCCTACGTCGTACTAAACTGTGTTCGTTTATGACAGGTTTTGATAATGCCAAACCGGCGCGACATATCGAAGCTAAAGTGAGCAAAACTAAGGCGAAGGAACATGGCATGATGACTTGAGAACCAAGAACCCAGAATCAAGAACGAAGAACTAGAATTGTATTGAGTCGGTCTTAATGTGATCAAGACCGGCACAAAATTCCAAATCTTGGCTCTCTAGGCTTAATTCATAAAAATCTCTTTTACATGTTCAAAAATATTTTTCTTAAGTTTAAACTTGGGTCAAAACACTTGGAGTTCGCCCAAGCCAAAAACCAAGCCATCCGGCGTTCGGTTTTCAGAAACCGGCGTTCGGCTTTCGGTTTTCGGCATTGGTTTTTTGGCGTCCGAACCAACCAAGTGGTTTTCAACTTTTTATGACTGGTTTTTACTTCTGGGCATATTTAAATAGTTCTCCAACAAAAACGCCTCAAAAACCACTCTCCGTTTTTTGTCGTTTAGTGAAATCCATGCGAAACGGCGCGAACTTGGCTAGCCGTGGTTTTCAACTAAATGACGTGGTTTTCAAGATGTTTTACTTGATTTCTTAGCAAAATGCAATAAACAAATGTTTTCTCAACTTGGTTTTTATTTTGGAGAACTTGCGTTTTTGACATCGGCTAATGGCGTGACTAAACCAACCATGGGTCTGGCTAAACCAGACCAACAGCGATGTTGAGGCAATCAACAGCGCTGTCTGGCCTGGGTAGCTAAAAACATGATTTGGCGTTAAGCCAAGGTTGGACACTAGACATAGCTGTTGAGCCAAGGTTGGATTTCCAGAAACTTCTGGAACAGCGATGTAGGCTTCCCTACAGCGCTGTCCAACCTAAGCCAAAAAATATAGTGCATTGGCAGAAAGTTTTTGGACAGCGATGTTGACCCAGCAACAGCGCTGTCAGGCCAAAATTCCATCTTCAAAGGCAGCCCTAAAACAGCGATGTTCTAGTATAGGACATCGATGTAGAGACCTGACCGTTTGAAGGAATTTAAGGCTATAACTTTCCTTGTTTGGAAGTCAACAGCCAAAACAACGATGTAGGGATTATAGACATCGCTGTTGGCATGACCGTTGCTTCCCAGTTTTCAAACCGCAAGCCTAGAACAGCGATGTCCAGGCCTAGGACAGCGCTGTCTGGGTGATTTTCAACAGATCCAAATTTCATCAAATCCCACAAATTATGCCAATCACCCCTTAAATACTTTGGTCCGTTGGAGCCTATTTTTCTACTATAAAATGGGGTGTTTGGGTCTATTTTACACATCACATTACTTCACAACTCCTACTCTTTCATTATAAATCATTCTTTAATTATTCATAGCTTTTGAGAGCCATTTTTGTGAAGCTTGTGTTGTGTTCTTGAGCGTTCTTAGTTTACTCAATATCCACTCTAAAAAGAGTGTATTGTTCTTGAGTGTTTTTAGTGTTCTTAGACACTTGACAAGAGAAGGTATTTCTCTTGTTGTTCGAAGGAAGGGTTGTTTCCTTCGAAGGTTCGTTGAGGTTCGTGTGACTCAAATTCTCAAGTTGTACGGGTTTGTTAAGCACCGTTAAGCTTAACGAGATAGTAGTGTAGCTCGAGAGAGTCTCTCGAGAGGCTGGATTAGCCACAAGTTGTGGTGAACCAGGGTAAAATCGCTGTGCCTCTTTCTTTTCTCTTTACTTCTCGCTTATTCATTTTTATTCCTGCGATTTCTTGATCGAACGCTATTCACCCCCCGTCTAGCGTTTGTCTATTATTCTAACAATTGGTATCAGAGCCTAACTCGCGTCCAAGCTTAACTGTTTGAGAGTAAAGCGATCATGGGCTCTTCTTCTAGAAATCTCTATGCAGGAATTGGAGAAGGACAATCAACCTCTAGGCCACCACTCTTTGATGGCACCAACTACTCTTATTGGAAGGAACGGATGAGAATCTATATTCGTTCCACCAACTTCCAATTGTGGTTGGTGATCAAAAATGGAGAAGAAATCCCTATGAAGAAAGTGGGAGAAACCACGGTCCCAAAGACCGAAGACGAATTTGATGTCGAGGACATCAAGAAGATCAAAAACTATGCAAAGGCCATCAATATGCTATGTTGCGCGGTCAACCCTGATGACTACCGAAAGATCTCCTGTTGCACAACCGCCAAGGAGATGTGGGACAAGCTTGAAGTGACGTACGAAGGTACCGATCAAGTTCGCGAAGCCAAGATCGACTTTCTCACCCAAGAGTACGAAATGTTCTGGATGAAAGAAGGTGAGAAAATTGATGACATGTTCGACCGGTTCTCAAAGATAATCAACGATCTTCATGCCCTCAAAAAGACCTACACCAACAAGGATCTTGTGAGGAAAATCCTGCGGAGTCTCACACCCGAATGGAGGTCAAAAGCCGATGCAATCTACGAATCCATCGGAGTCTCCAACATCACCATCGACGGGCTAAGAGGTAATCTTAAAACCTATGAATCTACTTTTCTAACCCCGTCTTTGGATGAACAAAAGAAAAAGGGGATAGCTCTCAAAGCCACCAAGGAGCCGGTGGAAGAGGCTTCAAGCGATGACGACAATGAATTCGGGCTCGTCATCAAGAAGTTTCACAAGTTCATGAAGAAGGAATTTGAGCGGAAGGGAAGGAAGCACAACGGTCCTCCCAAGTGCTACGGCTGTGGCGAGATTGGCCACATCAAGCCAAGGTGTCCAAAGGCCAAACACGGCAAGGACAAGTCTGGCTTCAAGAAGCAAAGGGCCTACATCTCTTGTGGTGGCGATTCCGGCGACGAATCAACCGACCAAGAGGAGGACGAAGCTGCAAATCTCTGCCTCATGGCACACGAAGATCAAAGCAACGACGTCCAAGATGTATGTAACATTTCTTCCGACTCTTATACTTTTGAAGAAATGCAAGAAGCACTTCATGAACTCTATGAGGAATTTGTTAGCGCTTCTAAAACGAATAAATCTTTGAAGAAACGACTTTCTTTACTTAAAAACGATTTTGAAAGATTGGAAAAAGAAAATGAAACACTTAAACAAGAAAACAAGTTTTTCGGAAAAAGAAGCGCTGACAAACCAGAAAGCTCATCAAGTGAATGTGGGTCTTGCAAAGCTTTAAAAGAGCAAGTCGCTAAACTTGAGAGCACGGTCAAGAAATTTAATACTCCTCATAAAGACTTAAGTTTACTTCTTGACACTATGCATTTTTCTAAGGAAGGAATAGGTTTTGATAAAAATAAAGCTAAAGATAATGTTGAGCCACCACCTAGACAATCATCTAAGGTTCAACATAAGAAACCTAAAAATCAAGATAATAGAAAACCTAGTCAACCTAAGGACACTAGACAACCTAGACTAAAACCTAGGAATGAAAACGGCCATGGTAGACAACCTAAGAAAAATGATTTTGTGCATAAAAATGAATTTTCTCAAATAAGAAGAAATAATGCTAGAACACCTAGAAGAGGCCAGTTTCAAAATTTCCAAAAACCATCATTTTCACAAAATAGGAACAAAATGGTTAAACCTTCTAACTATTATGAACCTAGGCACATGTACAACCCCAATGTAGTTTGCCATTATTGTAATAGGATAGGCCATATTGCTCCCGTTTGTTACACTAGGCATAGGCAC